ACAAGAGACTGTTTAAATAATAGATGTGTTGAAGGTGCATTAAAGAATTATTCACAAAGATTAATTGATAATAATTGTGATTATGTTCAACAACAACAAGCTCTTTTTTTTCTTGTTCATTGTGTTGGTGATGTTCATCAACCAATACATTGCGGTTTTAAAGGAGATTCTAATGGGAAAAAAATCATAGGTAAGTTAACTTTATTTTTTATTTTTTCGTTAAATTTAGTTTTAAATTTTTTTCTAGGTTTTTTTTTCAATGGAGAAAATCTAACATATCTTCATAAAATATGGGATACTGAAATAATTAATGTTCGTATTAATCGTCATTTTCAATCAGATGTTAATCTTTATTATGAATATTTGAAATCACTTATGTTTAGTCAATCTTTATTAATTAATGAAACATATAATGATTATAAAATATGGATTGATGAAAGTGTTGATTATGTTTGTCAACAAGTTTATTTCGATGATAATAATATCAAACTTAGTGTTTCAAGAAATTTCGCATTAGGTGAAAAATATTTCAATCGAAATTGGCCTCTTATTGATCAACGTTTAGCACAAGCAGGTTGTCGACTTGCATCGTTACTTAATCAATTAGCTAAAAATAGATCATCGAGAAAACTTCCACCAAATATTCAAATTCTTTTTATTGTTTTATTTAGTGGATTAGCTATTGGTATTTTTGCAGCTCTAAGTGTTTATTTATATAAACGACAGAAGAATAAAGAATATGATTCTTTGACGCCGGAATAATCATATTGGTACTAGTACATTTCGTCGCGTTCACTTCGTCGCAGAACAATTTTTTTTTCATTCTGTTCATCGCAGAGTAATTTCTTTCGTTCTGTCGTTGCATCCTTCTCAATTAATTCTTTTTTTTTAAATAACCAATTGCAATAAAATAAAATAAATTAAAAATTCCGAAAGATGTATACGATAACGATAAATGATTGACTATTCTAAGGCATATGATTTTAATTGGCAAAACGGATCAATAAAAAATATTAATCAAAAGTGATCATGATAGAGCTAAAGTGAACGTAGCATATCTTTGAGAGATAAGTGAGTACGAAACTGCTACGAAGAACATTATTAGATTTTTATCAAAAATCACATTTATTTATTCAAGCTTTCGACAGATTTCATCTGCCATCATCAGGAATAACAATACAAAAAAGAAAGAAACACTTTATATAGACAACATATAATAGGAATACAAACGACTTAATTGATAGATAATTATAATTAGCTTGAATAAATAAATGTGATTTTTGATAAAAATCTAATAATGTTCTTCGTAGCAGTTTTGTACTGACTTATCTCTCATTTATATGTTACTGCTCTTCAACCTAATTATGTAGCATATCTTATCACCCGATTCGAGCATTTCTTATCCCGATTCGATTCTGAATGGATTCCAATTCCATTCTCATGGTTTCCACGTGTAACTCGATGAGCTCTATCGATTCCAGGCGTCTGTTTCCACATACACCCTCTTTATCCCGCAAAAAACCGAAAATACCGCTAAAAAATGCATAAAAAATACGAAAAATTGAGAAATATCATCCCCGATTCGTGCCTAAGCCGATTCCAATGAAACCAGTCAGATTTCCAAGTGTAACTCGACCAGCCCTATCGATTCCAGGGGTCTATTTTATCACAAGACCCTTTCGTATCCCAAAATACCCCAAAATCTGCAAAAAATGCTAAAATTGTCAGAAATACCCTGGCCGATTCGCTTCCCAGCCGATTCCAATTTCATTCTCATGGTTTCCCAATGTAACTCGACGAGCTCTATCGATTCCACGGGTCTATTTTATCACAAGACCCTTCCTTATCCCTACAATGCCCCAAAACCTGCAAAAAATGCTAAAATTGCCAGAAATACCCTGGCCGATTCGCCTCCCAGCCGATTCCAATTTCATTCTCATAGTTTTGAAGTGTAAATCAACGAGGTCTATCGATTCCAGGGGTCTGTTTCCCCCTGCGCGCTCGTTATCCCCAAAAAAAACCAAAATACCGCTAAAAAATGCCTAAAAAACACGAAAAATTGAGAAATATCATCCCCGATTCG